CTCTCTCTCTCTCTCTCTCTCTCTCTCTCTCTCTCTCTCTCTCTCTCTCTCTCTCTCTCTCTCTCTCTCTCTCTCTCTCTCTCTCTCTCTCTCTCTCTCTCTCTCTCTCTCTCTCTCTCTCTCTCTCTCTGTGTGTGTGTGCCCCGTCAGAACTGTAGCATAGTATCTCGTCTTCCCTGACGCCGGAGTCCATTTAGTGTATTCATCGCTACTCCAATGTTCCCGCTCACTTAATTACTCACTCACTCCTTCACGCAAGATCATCGTAATTAGCCTAGTTCAATGCGTGAGGTAGCTCTCACTCTCCTTCTCTTCCTCGCCTCCTGCTGCACTTTCTTTTCCTTATCACGGAAGAATCCGAGGTAGAGCTTCACGAAGCCCAACGGATGAGATGATGATTCAAGAGATGAAACTCCGCTGTCAGCCTCCCAGACAACTAACTCTCGGTCACCAGCTCTCGCCGACGCGTGAGTTAGTAGCAGTAACCAGTGTGCGTTAGATTGTAGGGCGTAGAAGTTGCTCGCTCGCTCTCACACTCGTCCGCTGCCACGGCACTGCGGACGAAAGTGGGTAGCTCGTCAGAAGTGGGTTTGAAAACAAAAAGTGTGTGTGTGTGTGTGTGCGCGCGTGTGTGTGGTGGAATCACGGTAATCATCAGCACTAGCGCGGGGAGTCAGTCAGCGCGTACGCACGCGCGGAGTGGCCGTGTTGCCTCCTCCATCGACGCATGATGAGGATGTATGAGCACGCAGCCTCTCAGCAGCATCCTCTTATCTGTGCCGCGCACGCGACCGATCGTCGTTCGCGCGATCGCAGCGCCGCCCGGTGGTGAACGTTAAACGTTTTATTAGTCGCCGCGTTCGGCGTGATGGCACAGAACTCAGACAAACTCGAGAACATATTGTGCGTTTCTTTCTGCAACTTTGTGCACAGCAGCGCACAGGCACTTGGACCGTCTCAATAAAAAAAATTAATGGTAAATAAACACGAAATGTCTCTACTCTATTTCGCCTATAATCACCTGTAAATTCCAGTCAAATGCTCATCTGCAACACGCAAGTACACCGAACGCCCGCCCGCGCTGTGCAGCAGCGCTTTTTTTTTTTTAGCTGCGCAGCTCTTATTCATGTTGTTTGTGCACGCAGCACAGCGCGGGCGGGCGTTCGGTGTACTTGTGTGTTGCAGATGAGCCTTTGACCGACATTTACAGGTGGTTATAGGCGAAATAGAATAGAGAAACTTGGTACATTTGGTATAGAGACTTTGGTACATTTCGTGTTTATTTACCTTTTTTTATTGAGACGTTCCAAGTGCCTGTGGAATTGCGTGTTGCAGAGGAGCGTGTGCGAACTGCATTTCCGGTGAAAGAGATTAGACCAACATTAAAACTTTGGTAGCATATACAGTTCGCATTTAATCATTTTATTATTGAACGATTCAAGTGCCTAGGCCTATAAGGCTATATCCATGGCTGTGGTGCTACACAGTATACTGCCACTGGTATAGCCACAAGTTCCCATCTCGCGTAACAGTCGGAGAGCCTGGTCGGTTTACCACTGGTAAAGCTATAAATGAGTTATTAGTTGGCGATTAAGTGTTTTATAGATAAACACATTCCAAAAATTATTGTTATTAATTAGATGAGTCAAGAAAACTTATAATTCATATAAAAAGTTGAAATAACTAAAGTAATAATAAATTACAATAAAACGCAGCGGGATTGCGGTGGCGCCACTTGTTTGCATGATCCATCGCGTGTTTGTTTACCTTTCCGGTGAACCACGTTGAACAGAACAGAACACGTTGTTCATTCATTCAAAGTCGTGACCACTTTCGCAGTGATGGCGTTAGCGATAGGAGCTGTTGCTTGGGGCGATTTCTATGGGTTGTTATAAGCTGGCCGCTTACTTGCTGTAGTCTAGCTCTAGCACCATGGATGTGACACTGCCACTGGATAGTGTCGCTGTCAACGGCAGTGACCAGGAACATGACGGATACATTCCCCCCGCAGACGGAATTGCCGAATTCAAAGCGTAAGCGAATACCATAAATGATAGAACATGTTGTTAAAATGAATGACAGCATTGAGCGACTGCTAGTTACTAATAAGTAATAGTAATACTATTAATAGTATTACTATTCGTATCTTAACGATTGGTGAACTACTACTACTACTAGTACTATACTGTGCAGATACCGTGGGTCAATGATAGTTTGCGACCCTGCAAATGTGTCTAATCCGGTGTGCTAAACTAGATAAACTGCCGATTCCGTTAGTGCTACATTCGCCTGCTTTAATTGCCTCTCATTCATCTCTGCCTCTTAATTCTCCGTAGCATCACCGCCATGGTCAAGGACGAGAATCTCTGGAAAGCACTCCCTCCTCCACCTCCTCCTCCTCATCCTCCGACGGGATCACGGAGGCTCGTCGTCACAGCCGACGACCTCGGCTACTGCCCCGAGCGAAACCGCGCCATCTTGGAGTGTCTCGCTCGCGGCGTCGTCAGCAGCACGAGTCTGCTCGTCAATGCCGCGTACACGCGGGAAGCTGTCGCCCTCATCCGGGATGCGCATCCCGGGAAGACGGCGTTGCAGCTGCCGATCGGTGAGCCGGGACGAATGCGCGCAAATGTCGGGCGTAGGGTGGGTCGGGGGGTGGTGATCCTGATTCGTTGTTGTTGCTACTGCTGTTGTTGTTGTTGTTGTTGTTGTTGTTGTTGTTGTTGTTGTTGTTGTTGTTGTTGATGTTGATGTTGTTGTTGGTGTTGCTGCTGTTGTTGTTGTTGTTGCTGGTGCTGTTATTGTTGTTGTTGGTGCTGTCATTGTTGTTGTTGCTAGTGCGGTTGTTGTTGTTGTTGTTGTTGTTGTTGTTGTTGTTGTTGTTGTTGTTGTTGATGTTGTTATTGTTGTTGCTGTTATTGCTACTGTTGATGTTTTTATCTGCTGTACATTGTAGCCTATTGGGTATTTATTGGCATAGATATCTATTACATTGTCATTCTGTTACTGGTACTTCCAGCAATTTCCTTACGAATTGGTACGCTATCTGTTAATTGATCTTTTTATGCATTTTACCAAGAGCTATTATGTATTTTTAGCTATATTATGTATGATTATCTCTTGATTCTACCTAGGATCTGGAGGTGAAATGGTAATTTGTGATGAGAGTGTTTATGCGTGGTACCCTCTCACGTAGGGCTGCATCTGAACCTGACTGAAGGCAAGCCGATCAATGAGAGCACACACACGCTGGTGGCACATGACGGCTTCATGCGGGGAAAGATAGGGTTCAGGGATGCCTGGAAGAACAGTGAGATTACAGAAGAGCACGTATGTATGCATGTATATACACGCGCGCACGCATGCATGCACACACACATATATACGGAGTGAGAGAGAGAGAGATAGAGAAAGAGATAGCGAAAGAGAGTGAAAGAGAGAGAGAGAGAGAGCAAGAGAGAGAGCGAACGAGAGAGAGAGAGAGAGAGAGAGAGAGAGAGAGAGAGAGAGAGAGAGAGAGAGAGAGAGAGAGAGAGAGAGAGAGAGAGAGAGAGAGAGAGAGAGAGAGAGAGAGAGAGAGAGAGAGAACGAGAGAGAGAGAGAGAGAGAGAGAGAGAGAGAGAGAGAGAACGAGAGCGAGAGAGAGAGAGAGAGAGAGAGAGAGAGAGAGAGAGAGAGAGAGAGAGAGAGAGAGAGAGAGAGAGAGAGAGAGAGAGAGACAGAGACAGAGACAGAGACAGAGACAGAGACAGAGAGGTGATGTGTTTGAGTAACAGCTCACTCGAGGTGGTATGGCAACCAGTCGATAGAGGTCGTTCGTCTCTTGCGTAAATGTAATTTTTATTGTGATTCTCGGTATTTTTACACCTTGTTGCCAAATGGAAATCAATTGAATCAACTCTCTGTAGGTGGCGATGGAGATCAGATCTCAGATAGAGAAATACAAGGATCTGGTTGGCTGCTACCCACTACACATAGATGGTCACCAGCATGTTCACATCATACCAGGTGAGACTGCATTCTAACAGGTGTAACACGTACTGTGCACAGTTTTAACCTCTCCAGTCTAAAGGCTAAAACACTGCAGCGACAACGAGCAACGGTAATGTTCAGATCTAAAGTTCAACTGGTGCCGTTTCGCTCAAATTCGCCCCTGTGACGTCGTCAGGCTGCTATCGCTACCAGATCTTATAAAACTGAATTTTCTTTGAACACATGAAATGACCACTCTGACAGATCTATGCCAAATGATTGTGACGTTGTAAGTCTGACCTATCATAACTTTGGAAGCGGCGTGTCGGGCAAATGTTACGACTTCCTGGATTCACGTGTACATAGCCGTAACTTAATTTAACAGTAACGATCTCGATTTAACGATGACCAGAAATTCCCCGAAAAACAATCAAACTAAGTATAATAACGAGTCTGCGTCTTGCTCTCCATCTGCAGGCGTCGCAGAGATATTCGCGCGTCTGCTCAGGGAGTACGGCGTCACGCGCACACGTCTGTAACTGTAATAATAACTGATAGTAACAATAAATAATATAATAATAATATGTAATAACTAATAATAGTAACGAGCGTGTTTCATCTGTAGGCGTCGCGGACATATTCGCGCGTCTGCTCGTGGAGTACGGCGTCACGCGCACGCGTCTGCCGCACGAGCCGCAGCTGATGCCCTGCGTCGACTACATGCTGAGGGCGGCGCCGGGCGGACGGCCGACGGCCCGCGTGAAGTTCCTCATAGCGATCGACGACAACTGCAAGACGGCGCGCGCGACATTCGAGAAACATGGCCTGAGGTGAGGGAGCATGCATACTGATGAGCGCAAGAGAGAGAGAGCTAGAGAGAGTTGATTGTTAGCGAATCTGTGTATGTGTGTGTGAGTGCGTGTGTGAGTGTGTTTATGCATGTGTGTGTGCATGCATGCGTGCGACACACATACATGTGTGTTCTTGTGTTGTTTTCTGTTGTTTTTTTTTACTGTAATTTTGATAATTTCTTAGCTCTGTCTCTCATCTTATACGCTTTGCTTTATTTTTATCTTGTAGCTCTTGCCCTCACTTTTAAATCTCATGGCTTATACTCTTACCTTGTGTGCTCTACCTTAATTAATTAGTGACCCTTCGACATTTCGCGTGTTGGTTGTGCAACACCTTTAGTCAAGGCCGGTCGCCAGCTTTCCTAGTTTATTACCCCTATTCTGTATTAGGAAGCTGGAGTCATTATTCATCCTATAGTTGCTAATACCGTATTGTCTGTTTGACTGTTCTTACCTCTTTTTTATGAATGTTAATAAGGTCTTAACGTTGTTAATAGTCGCCAGGTGCACCAGGTGTGCTTTATTACCTTGCTGCCACTCTTATTTCCCTCCCTAATCTACATCTCTATGTTACGCAATATGACGGTGGGTTTGCTACATTACATATGTGCACATACATGTGTGCCTGTGTGTGTGTTTGTGCATGTATGCGCTTGTGCTTGTGTTGTTTTCTGCATTTCTTACTGTAACGGTGATCATTTCTTAGCTCTGTACTCTTATTTTCGTCTCTCATCTTATACTCTATATTTTATTTTTATCTCGCAGCTCTTTAAATACCCTCACATTTAAATCTCACTGCTTTTATATACTCTTATCTTGTGCGCTCATATTTATATCTCTAATCTTGTACTCATATCTTTATATCACTCATCTTCACGTCGCATTACGTCTCATCTTATATTTATAGCTCTTCGCATACTAATAACGTTACGTCGCTCTCGTCTTGTGGCGCCACCTGCAGGTACGCAGATCGCTTCATCGGGCATGGCGTCATGGGTCCGATGATGACCGTTCCGAGACTCGCTGCCAACATGCACGTCGTCTTCCGCGTGGGCGACGGCGAGTCCGCCGCGCGCCGGCCAATCGCGTGCGAGATGATGGTGCACCCCGGCTACGTGGCGCACCCTGGTGTCGGCGGGTACGGCGAGGCGGGGCCGGACGAGTTTGCTCGGAGCGAGGATCGCGATGACGAGCGGCGGACGCTGCAGAGCGACGCGCTGAAGGAGATCATCGAGAGATACGGCATCGAGCTGTCGACCGCGAGCGACCTCTAACGACCTCCGATAATTACATCTAACGACCTCCAGTTGACATCTCTAACGACCTCCGATAATTACCTCTAATGAGCTCCAATAGATAGCAATAGTGGCCTGCAGTAGTCAACTGTAATGACCTCCAATAATTACCTCTAGTGACCTTCAGTAGTGACCTCTAACGACCTTTGACAAACCCACCGAGGTGAGGTAGAGGGGTAACAAAGTGTGCGGGAAGTGGTGCGAACATGCACCAGGTACTAGCTGTGTAGATGTCACAATGTCCGAGTGACTGTCACAATGTCTGAGAATGTTGGGGGATGTCTGAATGTCACAATTGTCACGAGGTCATGCAGTGTTTGTCACGAGATCTGTGTGTGTATGTTGCCTGTTCTGAGGGATTGTCACACAATCGGAATGTTTGTCACAATGTCCAAGTCATTTTCTTGACATTTTTGGTGATTGTCGTCTAAATGACTATTATGAGATTGGAGTGATTGTCAGTAAGTTTGAGTGAGTCACGAAACAATTATTCATTATTGTATTATTGTATTAGTGAGATTATGCACGACACACATCTTTCATGCGGCACTGTGTAGTTACCCGACTGTGGTTTTGTTCGGTGTGGAGCGCAGTATCGCAGAACAGTTGTCGTTGACAATTCACACGTACACAAATACCTGTGTGCGTAGACTTCCTGGTTACAGCAGCAGTAGTAGGTTTGCCCACGGGCAAGTGTAGTGACCTGTGTTTGTCACCGGTGGAGTGACACATGACCTTGGCTAACCAAACCTGTTCTGTGCGACGGTACTACGTATCACCATTATTGTGATGGGAGCGACACATACCTAACTGCCAAAACCGACCATGTATTGCAAGGCCACGTTTTATTGTTTTTGGAAAGACCACATCTAAGAGCCAACTAAAAGTTTTCTTCAGTGTATTGCTCTGTTTCACTTGTTATTCGTAGCATTACTGCTATAAACAAAAACAAGCAAACAATATTTTACTATACCAACGTTTTGATATTATTATTATTATAATTATTAATAATATTATTATTATTACTGTATGTTTTTACAAGAGTACGTGTTCTTAGTATTGCCTAGAATAGAAAACCTTTATACAAGCGAAAAATGGCATGCAGCTTAACAGGCTAGCGTAACCATGGTAACATACAGTCGGCTGCTCTACAGTTGCTCTTTGCTATTCAGTAGTTGGTTGTAAACGTGCGCGCCTGGGCGACGCATGACGTACGCGTATAACCGGGACATAAATCGTCCAGCGTTTCAAACGGCCGCGTTTTTCGACACCAACTCTTTCGCGACGTTGCAAGCTTAGTATGCACACACTGCTGAGGACACCCACTCGTCGATATGCGCACGCACTGATGCATGCACCCCCACGTAACGCACAGCTAACGTGCAGAAAACCTTAATTATTGGCACATACATATACACACGCGCACAGACTGCTGCAGCAAAATCCTCATGCGATAGAACCGTACGTCTCACATGTTTTCGGTGCTGCCCTCTACATTACACTGGTACGCGCGCACCTATGACACGGTGGCTCACCGCAAATGACTCAATCGGCATCATCTTAAAAAAAATCAATAATTTACTCAAAAATAATTTCCCTCGTAACGTGCGAGTCGTGCCGGAACGTGCAGAAGGCGAGATAGTCGCGCCACTCGACAATATCATTCTCATCTGGTCGTCACGTAAACACTCTGAGACACCCTCGCTAAACGACCGGGTCGTCGAAACATTTGACTAGTATTCGTAATTACGTGTTTAAAATTTATTTTCACAACTCAGAATTGCGACGAGAACTAGGGTCAAACGTCACTGGAAGACTGCCTATGAATCTGCCTATAACGCCAGTTAGACAATCGTTCCACCCTTCAATTTCGACAGCCGACAAACAACATGGCCGCCTCGCCGCGAATCACGTTACTTAACTCGCTACGCCTGCAGTGTGTCACAACCGGATACAAACAACCACACAACAGAACACAAGGCTGTCGAAATCAAGTCATAATTATACACACTAAACAATCGAATTCCAGATGCAAATAATCTTGTAACAGAACAAAGCGCTGTCGAAATTAACTCCCGATTAAATCCGTGATTATCAATCGAAAGCTGAACACAAAACAACCTCACAACAGAACAAAATGCTGTCGAAATTGACTCTCTGATTAAACCCGCGATTAACAACCACGCGCATGCAGAGACGCACGGCTCGGTAACAAGAGAACGAGCACAACATGTCCTCCCGTCACCACAGTTCCATCGGAAGCTTTTCTTTGCGAGGCGAACAGACGTATTATGCTGGGACGATGAGCGAGTGCAATGTATCAGAGACACGCGTTCTCTGCCGGTATTTATGATTGTCAGCGAATAGCTAAGCATTACCCTCCACCACCTCTCTAGCACACCGGCGCAACACTAGCCACACGATATAGCGCTGCGTACGAGCTGGGATGGCAGAACATGAAATGTACGATAATAACACGATGTACATCCCTGCGGCAAAACGACTGAAGGTAACAATCGGGTGTTCCGACGTTCACGGAACGACGATACATAAAACGTGCGAACCAGGGCAGCATAGAACGGTAGGCGGCTCCGAACAGCGCACGCAGTTCCGATATTTACGGTTCCAGCGTTTATGGAACAACGCTTGTGGTTCCAACATTCGTAGCTCCCAACGAGCTCATAGAACGAAATCTGCAATTGCGATCCCCGAGGTTCGGGCGTTCGCTGAACAGCGACGCATCCGACACTTTTCTCCCAGCAGCAGAGCACAACGACCATCTCCCGACGCCCGCAACTCCTGCGCTCTGCCCCTTTGCGGAACGACGTCCTATGCGCGCGTTGTTCCGACTATTCGCGGAACGACACACCATGCACGCGTAGTTCCGACTATTCGCGGAACGACGCCCTGCGAACGCGGCGTTCCGGTCCTTCGTGAAACGACGCCCTCCGCGCGCGTTCAAGGGAACAGCGTGACGAGAGCCTTGGCGGCCTTGGCGATGTCGTACGCGCACTGGATGATGCGCTGCGTCACCTGCTGAGGGTCGCGAGGGGGCGCCACCATCTCCGTCACGCGGCGGCACTCTGTGTGCAGGTTGTGCGCGCTAGCACGGAGCTGCCTCAGGGCGCCTCGCACCGCCTCGTCCTCCATGCTCTGCACAACACACAACGAGACGACATCTGAGACACTGAGGGGGTGATTCCGTATGCGTAGCAAGGTGGCAGGGCGGCAAGAAGAGCGGAGGTTAAGGGGAAGGTACCGAGGGGAGGTAAGGGAAAGAGAAGGGAAGAGGAGAGGTAAGGGGAAAGAGAAGAGGGGAGGGGAGGTAGGTCGGAAGAGAAGGGAAGAGGGGAGGTAGGTCGGAAGAGAAGGGAAGAGGGGCAGTCAAGATGGACGTTAAGCGATGGAAGGGGAGATGTTTAACACGTGAACATAATAGCACAATGAATATGTGTATTAGAATACATATATGATCTATCATATATAATTCTAATACATATATTCATGATAGCACATACAGCCGGCAACAATTACTACGAGTTACTTACAGAGGGGAAGATGGCCGCCATGTTTTCTACTGCATGGATGATCTTTTCAGAACAAGGAACGAAACTGAAACGAAAAATGGACGACTCCATCACTAAACACTAACTCCTTCGCTTCTTACGTGGTGACTGTCCTATAAGTGATGACGAACTTAAATGCTCGAAGATGTTAAAATCTTTATGTATAGAACGGAATCGTCTATCCATAACATGTTAACACTAATAAGTAAACTAATAGATGAATTGATCACGCCCACTCAGTAAGTGCTCAATCAGTCAGATGTACTTCGTGCGACAAAGCTGACTACTATTGATGATGATGGCCTTCATAGAGAATAAAAGCTACCACACATTCAAGTTCATGCCAGTAAGAATACTAACGCATGCATCACTTCCTGCTTGCTAGCCACGTGCGCGGACATGACTTGGTGTGTTTTTCCTCTTCGCTCCTGGATCTTCTTCGTGACATAGCTAACCATTTGCTATCGATATCTACTACTAACAAGCAAACTATTTACATGTATGCCCGTCTCTCGCCTGCCCCCCCCCCAGCGCGCGCATACGTACTTGGCATGTTTCTCCTCCTGCGCATACACCAATAGCTCCTGGATCTTCTTCGTGATGGCTTCGGTCTTGCGCACCACGTGCTCCTGCGTCGGAAGCTGCGTCGGCGGGCCGGGGCTGCCCTCACGCAGCGACACGGTGCTCGCTCGCCCGCCGTGCTGCAGCCGACTGCAACGAACGAATCATAAAAGTCATCGCACCACTGCCTGGCACCACTTTACGTGCTATTGTGTATGTATTAATTATGGTATTTTTTAATGATTTTTATTTACTATATTTAATAATTTTTATTTACTATATTTAATGATATTTTTACCATATTTAATGATACATTTACAATATTTAATGATATTTAAATTATATCATTTGTTTAATGATATTTAATATCTTTTATATCGAGAGAGGGATGAGGTTGGAGTGGAGGAGGGGTAGGTCAGGAGTTGGAGAAGGGGTGAAGGATGGGTAGCGGAGAAGAAAGGGTGTGGAGGGTACGGTAGCAGTGACGAAGAAGGAGAGGAGGAGAGGAGGTGTGAAGTGTCCGGTAGGACTGAGGTAGGAGAGGAGGAGAGGAGGTGTGAAGTGTCCGGTAGGACTGAGGTAGGAGAGGATTAGCAGAGGAATATGTGAGTGAGGTATAAGTGAGGGAGCGGTGGTTAGGTTGAGGGTCAACACATACCTCTCCGCCCTGGGACTTCGATGCCTTACGCTGCCGTGGTACTCCGCCCCTTTCTTCGCATCAGCCTCCTGTGACCATGAGATACCATTGTTGTAACACAAAAGCGCAAGATGGTAAGTGGGAAGGGGAGACAAGAAGATTGAGACTGATGGAGGGAAGAGATGGGAGACAGCGGTGGAGGAAGCGAGCTCAGCTCAGCTGCAAAACAGAGTGAAAGTGAGTCATATAAAACATGAAATTAAATTTTTTTAAGGCACCTGCAGTTTAATCATTAGTTTCATCATTTTAGGGGATCCACCTTGATGAATTAGAAGGGGCACTGAAGCAAGCACTTCCTTCAAAGAATGGGTATCAACACTCCGGCCCTCTCGGGCGGGATGCGTGACATACTAGCGCCCTCTCGCTCCCCAAGTCACCACCAGTGGCGCCCTCTCACCTTGCTGGCTTTCGGGTGAAGGCGTTGTTCTCTTGGTTCGAACATGGACACCGGCCGCATTGCGCTGCGAGGTGACTTGCTGCCGGCGGGCGGGAGCGCGGGCAGGGGTGCCGACGCCTCGCCAGGTGGCGCCGGCATCTCGCCGCCGTTCTGCAGCGATGCCAGCTCCATCTGGTGGTGCTGCTCCTGCGTGCGCAGCCGCGAGTTTTCTCGCATGAGGCTCTGCACCTGAACGACAAATAAACGCACACAGCATGAGAGACGACGTTACGGCATTCGACGCGCTCGCCGAAAAACAAGAGAACAACCGATTTCCCCCCTCACCCGACATTTAATCGTAAATTCAGAACCTCACAAAGACTAGATCGTAACTGGAAACTGGTAGTTCACGCCTTTACGAGTTCAACAAACGACTAACGCATCGACGATTATAAACGAATAATAAACGATAAGTATAATAATATAGGCCTAATATATATATATATATATGTATAATTAAATATATAAAAATTTATAAAATTAAAATTATATTAAAAATATATTGTAAAATATAAAAACAAGTCGAATTGACGTGACGATAGTGACAGCTGATCAGCGCCCCGTATCGAGACAGGCCGTGGCCACGAACATAAAATGACTGTCAGTTGTTTCCGCCGCGCACTCGCACCATGTTCTGAAGTAGCGCCACCTCTTGTTTCATGTCGGTGTTCGACAGCTCTAGCTGCTTCACTTTCTCGTCGGACGACGCCAGCGCTTTCTTCAGCTCCAAGAATTCCTCCAGCGTTACGCACGGCTCCTTACTGGGCTGCCCCGACACCAACGCACCCTACGGGTGGAAAACACAACCGTTGATATTCAAGTTAGGAGCACGCCAAGTATGCATCTCTGATAAACATTGGTAGTAGAATCGTAGTATCGAGTAATGTTTTGATCGCAAGTCGAGTTACGACGACAAAAATAAACATACAACACAAAAGAGTTATACTTATCAATAATAAAAATCTGAACGATTAAATAATCGATACATCAAGTTTTGCTGAGATTTGTGCTGACACACTGTAACAGTCTCTAATGACATTACCGCAGGAATTAGCTATTAATTGGTTATTACAAGAACTCCGATTAATTGTGAGCGTGAGATGTAACGATATATGCCAACTGGTTATGCATAGTGAGACAGGGCCTACCTCAACCGTAGTAGTAGCAGCAGCACCAGCTGCAGCAGCAGGTACTGTAGTTTTGGCATCAGGAGCAGCGGCCGGTCCCTGCCACGAGTTAAAAACTCAACATCTAACATCTACTAACAAGAGCCGCAGAGCGTCTGGGCTCATCTGGGGTCTGTTGCTACGGTTATGAACGTACAATTTCAGTCGTGCGTAGTGACACATTTGTTAGGCGCAGATATGCAGATACGCAGTTGCGTACACATCATTGTTAGGACACGCTCACTATCTCCCCCCATGCGATTTTGGTTTATTTTATTAAATGATGCTTGCCTTTCACTTCGAATTTGTGTCATAGATTCACAGCTATCTATTTTTATCTATCTATAAAAGATTTCAACATATGAGCATGGATCTCCAAGTATAATTAGAGGGGGCGGGGAGTCCTTCTCCCCACCTCCCTCCCCACTGCGTCCCACCTCCCTCCCTCCTCCCTCCCCCTGCCTCCCACTTCACTCCCCTTGCCTCTCACTTCCACCCCCTTACCTCCCATCTCCCTCCCCCTGCCTTCGACCTCCCTCCCCCTGCCTCCCACCTCCCATCCCCTTGCACACCATCTCGCACGACCTAATTGTACCCCGTTTCCCGCTCGCATACACACCGTATCACCGTTTTCCTGTCCCCGTCTCAATTTACTACTCTCTCTCTCTTTATCTTACTTTCTCTCTCTCTCTTAATTATATTAAAAAAATTAAAACCCAGCGATGATGCCTTTTACTGCCCCCTTAATAATGCTTTCTTCCTATGCCCCTGAGTGTAACGTACAGTCATAGAAATCATAATATATAGTGTCTCTAATATTTCTATGGTAACAGCTTATGTTCGCACAACTGGTAAATGGATACGCACGGCCATAGCTACATGATATATGTTAAGATTCAAGATGAAAAGTAAATATTATATATTATAATATGGTACTAGTTATTATTTATTCGTTTAACAAAGTTACATGAGAATAAAATCTAATTTAAACTAGGCCTATAGTTGC